ATCCAGGTCTATATAATAAGTAATCCTAAACAATACCTTTCTTTATTTGATTTAGTACACAATGCCGTCCAATTGATGAGGAACCAGTTGAATGCGACCCTGACAACGAAGCCCTCTACAGGGCAAATGATCAATGCGGTATCCTGACAGATCCGAATGGTCCATTTGAACCCTGCTTTGGCAGAATTCCAAATGAAGGAATCTTTGAAGATTGCATATTTGACATGTGCCATATTGGAGACACTGCTCAATTATGCAATAACTTAGAGGAATATTTTGATAGCTGTAGAGAAGCTGGTGTACAACTTAACTCATTCAGGACACCAACGCTTTGCCGTATGTTTGAAAAATTGTTCTTCAACTTGTTTCATAATTTTTTTGTATTGATGGATCAATACACATATTATATTTTACTGTTAAAACGTACAGTGCATAGCAAAGGAACATAGCAAAGTAAACTTTAACCCAATTGTCAAAACAAACTTTTGACATTTGTTTTAATTTTTGGATCAGCCTGAGAGCCTCACTGCTGTTCTTGTTCTGCTGCTGCTGTTCTCGCTCTTGTTTTATAATATGTTAAATGTTTCGGGAGTTACATATTCTTCTGTTGAGTGCTTTTGCCTATGTTATTAATTATGTAAATTTGTGTACAGCAGATGCAGCTAATTATGTTTTTCCATTATTCTTATTAATACTTTTGATCATCTTGTTTCTTTTATTATTCTATAGATATATAATTCTGAAATAAAAGATGAAACGAAATAAACAATTCTCAAATAATTACCAGCAAAATTTAGGTTCAATGTGAAGAAATATAGAAACAGTATTTATAGTTTTATTAACTGGTATGGAAAATAGTTCATTATTTTCAATTTTCAGTTGTAATGGAAAATATTTTTGGTCAACACAAACCATGTATTTTTATTATTAGTTTAAATATTTTTTATTGATTTGCAGCACTGCAATGTGGAGAAAATAGCCACTATGAATCTGCTATGTCAGCCTGCACTCCCTCGTGCGTCTCCAACGAACCTGCAGAAGACTGCGAAGAGCCAGAATTAGAAGGATGCCAATGTGATGAGGGCTTTGTACTCAGCGGTACCATATGCATTCCTCTTTCGGAATGTGGTTGTACAGACGACGAGGGATTCTATTTCCCTGTATGTTGTCTTTTACTCTACCTGTTTTTGGTTTAAGGAATGTTTGTCTCTAGCAAACTAACGGTTGTTGTGTCCTGACAGTGTTAATCTTTAATATTTTGTGAAGTTAATTTTAAAATGATGTCATCAAATCATATTTTAGGAAGTTAATTTTAAAATCAATATATAATACACATTTCTACATTAGAGCAAATAGAAAATTCATATTTTTAATAATTTGAAAAAGTAAACTGTTTGTGACCAGTGGTTACCTAAATATAGGAACCCTGTATTTTCACACATATTTTACAAATTTAAGATAATTTTTTGCATATTTAAGCTACTTTGCATATGCATGGACATGTGACCTAGTAGGTGTAATTTTTGAAATTTTATTCTTTCACTTTTGCAATTTCTTTCACTTCAGATGCTGGATTGCCTGGCCTAGAGTGTCATACTCAGTACTAGGCAACATATATTCTTTTAATTGTAATATTTTTGTTATTGTATCTTTAAAGTACCAACATCGGTGGACCGCCCTCAATTGCTCTATGGAATGCCACTGCGCTGCTGGTGGGGAGATTGTGTGCAATGATATGAGCTGCAATTCAAACGCGGCATGTCTGTCAGTTGAAGGAAACCACGGTTGCTTCTGTAATGAAGGCTATGAAGGAGATGGTGTTGCTACATGTGAAGGTATAAAATAATTCAAACAGTTATTTTAATAGAGAGAGCAGCTTAGCTAGTTTAGTAGGCTAAACTGGTGGTGTAGCTACTGTGTGTGCTCTGAACCATGAAGGTCTTTGCATAACATTGGTCCCCAGTTTAATTCCCATCAGAAATTTTGGCTGGGTCCCTGGAGACATGATTTATTACCATTGTGGCAACCCAGGGAAACGGTTGTATGTTCAGCACTATTCCGGTCACATCACAACATACCCACAGCAGACTATAACAAGAAAGTATTCCAATACAATGGGATACTAAAGGATCTGATATCCTTTCAGGACCTAGCAATCCTTTACCATGTGCACGCTGGTTTCTGGCAGACACCAGTGAACACTTGGTCACACAATGGTGTACACTCCAATACGGCAACAGGCTGAACAGGCTGTAAAAAGTACATAGCCTCCCTCCACACGGCACTTTTACAGGCAGCTGCCAGAATAGACAAACCGACCTAGGTCTAAGTGATCTTCGGTTCGCTATAACAAATAATACTTTTACAAGTATATGTTATATAATAGAAAATAATAATAATTTAAAAAAAAAACAAATACAAAAAATATAAAAAAAAAATTTTAACTTTAAAAATAAATAAATAAAGTAAAACATGCACTACCTTGTCTTACTGTACTAAGTGTAAAAGAGTTAAAATATAAAAGACCAAAAAAGATATTACTATCTGGTGAATACTGTGTTAAATAGATGACAGGCATAAGGCTGCAGTGCTTAATTTGAACACATAACGAACATATGGATACAAGCATTGTCCTTAACCTGCCTAACTCTCAATGTGAGGGTTATTCAAGGAGCCCATTATCAGACTCCAATTAAAACCTTACACTGGCCGAGTTTGAGCAGGGGTCTTCAGAACAAGAAGCAAGAACCGCTCAGCAGAAATTCAGATTAGGCATTTAAACTAATCCAATTCAGTTTTATATAATTATGATTTTATTATACTTGATTTACACTTTTCTGAATGTATCTATCAAGTTCTTATTATTTATATCAAAATTATTATTATTATTATTATTATTATTTATATTAATGACAAATAAAATAATGAACTTGAAAGTTGAATCAATCCATTCCCTTCAACATCTCCATCTTCTATAGTTTACTACATTGCATACATCTTGTCATTCATTGCAAGTTATATCTATGCTTCAGTTTGTATACATTTTTCTCTACAACGACCTCAATTTATGATACATTAAATCATTGATGTTTTTCCTTTTCAGAGGTTGTACCACAAGCAATTACCAATGAGGAAATCGCTTGTGAGAATGAAGATATCGAGATAGAATGCGGTGCAGAGAACATTCTAATTCAGACTGCTTTCTTTGGACGTCTGGAAGACGATGTTTGTGAGGGCAATGACAGAAATCCAGATCTTTCCTGTAGTGCAAACTCAGCACAGTTCTTGGTTGATCAACATTGCAACGGCTTACATTCCTGCACCATCCCGGCGAATGTGCTCTTCTTTGGTGATCCGTGTGAAGGCACAAGCAAGTACCTCAGAATTACGTACCAGTGTGTTTCAGGTAAGGATATGTTCCATTTTTTTGCCACACAAAATTATGAAGATAGTTTAACGATTACAATGAAAGTTTAAATATATAATGAAAGTTTAAACATGGCATGTTTCTTTTCTTAAAGACAAACCATGATTTGTCTGTCTATTTCGTGAATACTTACCTGGATAACCGACTAATTGCCATTGTTCCCAAAACAGAACACCCCTTCGAAAAAAATGGAACAGTCCGATCCAAGGCGCCACGTGCGAACCGTCTCCCTAACAAACGTCCTCATCCCCTTTTCGACATTGTTTGAAGTCGGATACATTCTAGCCTTTGACAATTACTAGCAGTCTTTTCAAGCAATTCTGTTCTCCTTGGATTTATTTTTGCTTTGGATTTATTTTTGCCTTGGATTTATTTTCAACTTGTGGTTGACAAGATATCCTTTTTTATTGTAGTCTCGATTGGCATGTCCGCTCGCAAGTCTTTGTGCTCGGCGTGTGGGGGCCCCAAATTGAGTGTTAAGCTCGACCGGCACTCGGAGTGCCCGTTGTGTCGCTTGTGTAGCAAGGCTGAGCCTTGCGCAATTTGTGCGCGCTGGCCCCCGACTAAGTTTGCGGCGGCTCTGGATTGGGCAGCTCAGGCTGCCACTCGATCTCAGGGTTCGCTGCCGGCTGCGTCGGGGGTTGTAGCGGCGCCGGATGACTCGCCTCCACCGCTGGAGGATTCTTCGGCTTCGTGTTCGGTGGGTCCTTCCCCTCCGCTGGATCCGGCGCTGGTTTCGTTGATATCGGAGCAGGTGGGTCTTTATTTCCCTAACCATGGTTTGTTTTTCGATAAAAGACAAACTATTCATTCTGTCCTACAACCTATGGTTCGTTGCCCTAGACTCGTTGTCGTCCGGCCTTTTGCCACCCTGCCTGATGCCAATCGGCCGGGTGCAGAAGGCCGGGTGGAGCCCATAAACTTCATACGCTCCTTGCATCTCTGTAACTAATAGGAAATATTAATATTACATCTATCCCAAGTACAAAAGCCTAAAAAACTTAGAAACAGATAAAAGCAGTGGAACTAGCTCTATTGCATAGCTAACCTGCAATTTGAGTTGTAGCAGTACATGCATTAGCTATATCATCATCATCACCTTATCATTACTATCTGTATTTTAATCATCATCATTATTATATATACATTTAAAAACAAATTCTACATTGTTGATGAAATTTTTTTCTCAAACCACTTTTTAATGTTATCTAATCGGAAATGTATATTTTAATTCACAGAACAAAATAATGAACGACAAGGTAAGTTTGAGCTTTTTTAGTATTAAGGCCAACAGGGTAAATGAGAAAGATGGAAAAGCAAATTTTAAATAGACATTGTTGAATGCAAGACATTCTAAAGATAATTGTATATTTATTAAATTCTACATTATGCTTTCAATATTCCTAGGAATCTGTTAATTACTTTTAGTTAAACTTGAAAAAGTATATTTAGTACATTGATTTCATAGGTTTAGTCCAGCTCAGGCCGTCTCTTTCTTTTGTATAATATTGATGCTTTTCAAAATTATTATTTTTAAACTATTTAAGTTTTCTACATTTTACTTTATATAAGTTATATGAGATAATCTCTTAGCCCAATTAATTCTTTACATGCTCCTGGTTGTAAAGATTGAAAATAAGTTCAGGATAGAAATAAATCTATATTTTAATTAAATTTAATTTAATATATTATAAATTACTAATAATTGCTGTTAATTTCACATTTTTTTCTTAGAATATTCTGCACCATTTACGATGAAGGTGTGCGAGCGTGACAGAATGAATCTTCACTGCGGCCATTCCAACATTGACATCATGGAATCCATGTATGGCAGGACAGATCCTGACAGCTGCCCTCATAGAAGCATCCAGACAACTGAATGCAGAGCAGACAGCTCCCTCTCGGTGGTCCGTGAAAGTTGTCAAGGAGAACACAGCTGTACAATTCGTGCTAATAATGGTGTCTTTGGTGACCCTTGTCGTGGAACGTATAAGTTCTTGGAAGTTACATATCGATGTGGTTTCAGTGGTGGTAAGTCTGTTTGTTGTTAAACAAGTCTTTCCTCTGGTTCCTAACTAGAGGCTTGTAAATGCGTAAATTGCTACTACCTTTATATCTAAATCGACTAGATTGCATTCATTATGAATGTATTAATGGTTTTGTTCATTTTCTTTTTAGATCAATCAGCACTTCGTTCAGTCTGGGAAGGTATTCAAGAAGGTATGAATGTTTTTTCAATTGTAATGAATGCATACATACATAAATGCAGCTCAGTCCTCATAATTAAACATTTGCTCTTTATGTGTGATGAGTGTATGTAGAGGAAGGGTTCGGTAACTGCTAATTGAGATATAATCAAGTCATAAAAATTCTTTAATTCTAACACATTGTTACCTTCTTTTCACTTTCAACCTTCTCTTTCCTAACTCTGAAGAGAGGCGAGGGCGAGGTAGGTTTACTTTGCTTGTATCCTGTGATTTCTTTTTATTTACATCTAAATATTTTACTGTAAATTAAATATTAAAATAATTGAGATATAATCAAGTCATAGAAATTCTTGAAATCTAACAGACTGTTACCTCCTTCTTTTCTCTTTCAATCTTCTTCTCTTTCATAATTCCGAAGGGAGGCGAGGGCGAGGTAGGTTTAACTGTCTTTACTTGTATCCTGTGATTTCTTTTCATTTTCATCTAAATATTTTACTGTAAATTAAATATTAAAATAATTGAGATATAATCAAGTCATAGAAATTCTTGAAATCTAACAGACTGTTACCTCCTTCTTTTCTCTTTCAATCTTCTTCTCTTTCCTAATTCCGAAGGGAGGCGAGGGCGAGGTAGGTTTAACTGTCGTTACTTGTATCCCTGTCTCTTATACACATCTAGATGTGTATAAGAGACAGATCCGGCGGCTCTTGAACGGATCAAAGAACAACAGCATCGATTGGAAAGGGATCTCATTCAAGTCAGAGAAGAATTAGCATATAGAACTAAGGTAACACATCTTGTTAAGTTTTATTATTGAGATTTCCTTTTGAAAGACAAGATATTGTTGTTATATTACTAATGACCAGCTCTGGCAAAACCCTCTGTTTGTCGCAAATTATAATTTCCCTCAAGCACCCAAAACGTTTGAGAATCAGAATTTTGAACATTTTCGTGTTTTTGCATTTTATAAAAAAGAAGATATATTGAAGAACATTTCTGCAAAATATCAATCACCAACTCTAAATGAAAAGTATATTAAAATTATTTTTAAACTACAAATCTTCATAATAAACTATGATTTTTGAATCTTTGGAAGCTGTTTTCTCAAAACCTAAATATTCATAACTTCGTTAATACTCCACCAATTTCTATCAAATATACACTACTTTAATTAATAATTCATGCAGAATCTAAATATACCAAAAACTCAATTTAAAATATTTCCTACAAATATATATATATATATATATATATATATATATGACGCTAAAGATCATGGCAAACTGTTGATCACATTCATGACAATCTTGATATCTTGAAGTGTTGTTATTAGCATGTACGTTTGTCTCATCTGTTCAATGTTTGCTCAGAAAGAAGGTTTAGCTGAACCATAGAAACCCGATATGGATCATTAACAGGGAATTGTAATTTTTATGTCATTTATAAATTCTGTTTTACAGAGAGTGGCAAGTGCTCTGGTATTGGAGATCCACATTACACCACATTTGACGGCAAGAGGCAGGATTACCAAGGCAATTGCACCTATGTCTTTCTTAGAGATGCCCTCAACAGCCCACCACAATTTACTGTTTTTGTCAAAAATCAGTTCCGTCAAAAACCAACTGTGACGCTGGCCGACCATGTCATTGTTAACGCGACTGGATATGAAATACGATTAAATCATGCCCATGAGACATGGGTAAGTAATATTAGTATTGTGTTTCATAGGTAATACTACAATAAACATCAAATGCCTTGTAACATTGAAAACAAAATGATGAAGTGATGTACTTAGATGAATAATAATATTCTTTATATAATAATTTTCTAATTGGGAGAACATTGACAATTGTTTATTTATCCAGCTAAGTATTCAAATAATAGACTACACACATATGGAACAGTCACTGGCAATATCTGATGTACCAATTAATATCTGTTGTATAACAAATACTGTAAATAAGAATTCTTAATTTTAACTAGCGAATAAATTCAAATGTGGATTCTAATATAAGAACTTATCATATGAAGATGCCATTTTAACAATAATAAATATCAGTAGATAATGAATCAACTCTGTATAATTGTGATTCTTTTTTTCCAAGAATTGTTGCATTATTAATTAATTAATTGCTTGATGAAAAAATAAGTATTTCTAATATGATCGTTTTAAATGACACCAATACATTCTAGGTTAATGGTATAAGAATCCGCCTCCCATTTTCACCACTTGATGCCGATCTGACTGTGGAAATGATTGGAAGAAATGTCATGGTGTCATCGGGCATTGGATTTTGGGTAACATGGGATGGTAACAATCGGGTAGAGGCTGGTGTGAGTGACCAGTACCAAGGCCATACTGAAGGTTTGTGTGGAGACTACAACGGAGATCCAGCCAATGATTTAATAGTTGCTGGTGGTGGTACTACACAAAATGGCAATGAATGGGGAGACAGCTGGAATTCTGATCCAAGGTATGTTTTATTGAATCATTAGGTGAACATGGCCCTTAGATTTTTTCCAGTATGTAATTACAGTTATAGTTATAAAGAGCTTACTACATACATTAATCACTTTTTTTTTTGCAAGGAAGGTTCCTGGAAGTAGTACAGTAGTGCTTTTTACCACTCTCAATGCCACCTATGTGGCGTTATTAACGCTACCTGCAGACCCCAGATTAGTTAATGCCACAGAGCTATCGGCATCAATGTTTTCTATTGAAACCTTCAACGCCAACAATTGTTCCACAATGCTAGCTGAAAAATCAGAAGTAAAATTGTTCATTTAAAATACAGTAATCATATATAAATTACACGCACAACAATTCACAAACTACTACTAGTTTAATGCCAGCATTAACATAGCGAATGCCATTTGTGTGAACACTTTGTAATTTTTAACTGGGGATTAGCTTATGCCGGCGTAAGATACGCCAGTCTTACGCGTTGTGTGTGAACATATCCTTAACTAGCTATGCCTCACTCAAGGATATAAGAAAGTATAATACATACTCCAAGTATTGAAATACAAGCCATTGTGTTGGGTTTCAATATTTCGACATTAATTATGTCATCATCAGGAATGAAAAATTATCCATATTAGCAAGCTTATATGCACTAGTACCAAAAGTGTTTAACCAATCAAAACATTACCTCTAGTAGGTGACATAGCAGTGATTTAAACAAAAGATCAAAGCATTCTTACTCTAATGATCAAAGATACCTACAAAAACAAAGAAAGCTCTTTTGAAGCTCTGAGCCCATGGTTAAGCAAAGGATGTAGTCTACGTATAGAGAACGCTTCTTTAAACAATAGAATAGACCAGTTTCGGGAGCTGTCAATAATGTTAGTACTAGAAAATATTAAACCTAATTTGTTACTTTACAGACGACATTATCATTTTCAAGTATACCCTGTAATCCTAAAACATCTAGATAGATGGCGTATTATAAATGCATTATTTTTATTATTATCACCTCAGCCCCAATCATGGTGGGCCTGAGGTGGGCGTGGCCCTTCGTTTAGTACCTACACTTTTTCCTCATAAAATATATAGCGCCCCCAATGTCATTAAACAAATCTCCCGGAAATGGGTTCTTCCAACTTTGAACCCCTGCATTTGGGACCAAAAATGTGGGGTGGTCTTGGGGATCAGTCACCAAAAATTGTTAGTTTGTACTTCAAATAAGTGGTCTAGAATTAGAGGTGTCTGAAAAACTTACATAATGCATCATTATTTATCATAGCATAGAAGCTTTTTTTTTTCATTATTTACCATACAAGTCCAACTACAATTATTATTTTTATTATTATTATTATTATTATTTTCACTAGTGGAGGTGTAACTCCATACCAAAGTTACTATCATGTGTGCTTAGATTATACTAATAAGTTGTTTGACCATGCACTGTATATTATCATATTGGTACTCTGCACCAATGTTTTGTTATCTGTATAGATGCGAACCATCTGAAATCGAACCAAGGGAAATCAGTGAGGCTAAGCGTGCACTGTATGCATCTCCAATAATGTGCGGGAGGATAACTGATCCTGAGGGAGTATTTGCAGCCTGTCATGAAACGATTGATCCCGCTGGGCCTTTCGACGAATGTATGTTTGATATGGCTAACCTGGGAGACACAGTCCAATTGTGTAACAACCTGGAGAATTATTTCATCGCTTGTAGAGAGAGAGCTATACCGGTTCAGACTTTCAGAACTGATACTCTATGCCGTGAGTAGCACTTAAAGATTGAAAAATCCTAATAGACATTTAAAATTATAACTTTTTCTTTTTTGGGGGTGGAGCTAGAGAGTGGATGGTACTGAAAAATAAATAAGTTGTTGTTGGTACAGTAATTTAATTTAATTTTCTATAATGTTAAAGTTTCTTTTTAGTACAATACCTGTTCACAGATGAAGGTAACCCATATTTGTAACTTTGCTGATATTGATTATTTTTAGTTTTGTTTTTTGTAAACTATTTTATGACGCACCTTTGTTCTTTCAAATGTGCCACTGTTTGAAAAGTGTATGCCCAAATAAATAAATAATAATAACTGTTAAAACATGAAATAAATTTATTGCAACTTTTAATAATAGTGATATTATAATAACATCACAATTAACAGTAAATTAAAGTCAAATCAAAGATTTAAACATAAATAAACAGCAACTTTTACGGAAGGGTCAATACACAGTTTAGCTGAAGACTGCACAGGCTGTCAAGATAAAACGCATTATATCGGAAGACAAAAGATGTTAAAGAAGACACACACAACCCATAATATCAAAGGATTAAACATTAAACAGATTGCATTGTAAAAAAAATAGTTGGTTCAATAAGAAAACAAAGTATACATGAAATATTTACATATTACAAATATTTTACATAAAATATTTGTTTAAAATATGCAAAGATACATTTAAGAAAATTATACATATGATAATTATGATGTTATGTTAGATAGACATTTGAGAATATATGGTCTCCATTTATTTTCATTTCATATTCAAATTTTATTCTTAATCTCCAAGTAGGAGAACATATGGACAGATGAAATACAGCAAAATATTTCATACAACAATATCAGAAAAAACAGAGCCAATCAACAGTCTCATACTCCACTTGATTTGTAAATGTTCAGTGACTTACAACGGTATGTTTATGTTTAATATTTGCAGCAATAACTTGTCAGGAAAACAGCCACTACTCAACATGTACATCTGCATGTCCTATAACATGTGCATTCGATGATGATTCAGACATATGCGAGGAACCATGTGTAGAAGGCTGTGAATGCAACGAAGGATATATGCTCAGCAATGGCCGATGTGTACCAACAGAAGAATGTGGCTGCATGGATCCTGATGGCATCTACCACATGGTAAGCACTATCACGTGTTACCATCTGTCACATCGTACACAAATACAGCATGGTTTGAGATGAAGTAGTGAATTATGCTTCCTGAGATGTCGGATGATTGGGACTACTGTACCTCCCATTGCGAAGCGTAGGAGGTAGTATCAATCATCTAACAACGAGGGAAGTAGAATTCACTGCTTTACTGAAAGAAATCCATGTTGTATTTGTTTTTTGAGATACCTCATAAACATTAAACAACAAAGCGTCCATGTTCATATTCGCCAATTCGATCTGTGTTACAGTTTACGCATAGGCAGGGGTGTGGTAGTCGCAGGGGTGCGGTAGTCGCAGGGGTCCCAATTTGGAAGAAATCCCTTACAAGAGATCTGATTAAATTTTATTTTGCTGCATATGATGATACCCATCGGCACCGAATTAGCTGACAGAATTCATAACGAAATAGTAAAAACATACAAATATTATGAATTTGCGAGAGATTAGTTGTTTTCTAGGAGATTCTTGCTTGCGGGAATGCGGGAAGCCGTCCTGATTTCCTGTAGTTGCAGGGAAGTAGTAAAAAACTACCGCACCTCTTACCAGGTAGATTTGACCAATGAAATGCTGTTACTACCTAAGTAATATATATGAGGTATCTTGATAATGATTACCAACCACTTGATAATGCCTATTGCTTTGTAACGTCACCTGTCACACGGTAATATCTGAAACGCAACCATGTGGTAGAAAACCTCCTAGTACAGAACATTACTACCATGCTATATTTTACCATGTGATAACATATGTACATCCGGTAACACCTACTGTAACACTCTTTGTGGTAATGTACAAATACAACATGGTTGCAGAGGCAAATTCCGGCCATATAGAGGTGCCATAATAACAAATTTTCTTACCTCAGCCCCAACCATGGTGGGGCTGAGGTGGTATAGATCCTCCTTATGTGAAAATACTGCACCTCCCTGGGCCCCTTCTATTTTTAATGCCTGGACCCGCACTGTTGATCATGAGGTGACTGAATTTTCTTTTTCTATAATTATTGTTTTACTCTGGAATAAATGGAAAGAACTGTGTGATCAAATGGTTTTGCCTTTGTTATTTGCTTCTTTTTTATTCTAAAATGTATAAGTGTATTCTTGTGTAAAATAACATTTTACTATTCTCTTTAAGCTTGGAGACGAGTGGGTGTCGCCCAACTGCACTCTGGAATGTATTTGCCAATCTGGAGACAATATTGTCTGTGAGGCAATCACGTGTCATGATCATGCTTCATGCTCAAGTATAGAGGGTGCTCATGGCTGTCATTGTGAACCTGGATACGAGGGAGATGGTATAGATACTTGTGATGGTAAGTTGACATATGTTTTTAATGATACCATCAGAAATTTTTGTTTCAGGAAGAAATCCAATAACGATGAGTTTTTTTCCTTTCTAAACCTGACATTGATTACTTCATATATTTCAATCTTTATTTCCTTAAAAATTCATCTGTTTACGATTGATGTTGATTAAATTTTTTTCTCACTGCTTTCAGAGGTGGCCATACCAGAGGATGGTAAGTTGTTTAGTTATTTTTTAAATCGTGTCATGATACAATATGTCATTGAATGATATCATTTATAAGTAAAAAATATAAAATATGTAGTTGATGAAATATCACAAATTTTACATGAGGAACATAGGTGGAGTTTCAATTGTAATTTATTACTTTATTTTTATATACTTT